TGAAAAGAGCTGGGAGTGGATGCAGTTGGTTATTAGGGCCACAGCTCTCAAGCTTCAAAGCCCCTGTTTGTCTTCTCTTTTGGCCTCTGAGTTCTCCTGGCAAAACTGCAGGTCTGGCCTCGCTCAGCTTCTGTGTGCCAGCCTTGACCCGCACGTGGAGGGACCCAGCTATTGGCAGGGACAACCTCTGCGCTGGCCGGCTCGTGGGGAAGGATGGGTGCACGGCAGGGAGCAGGAGGGAGATTGAGGGAGGAGGAAGACTGGAGAGATCCCTCGGGTTGGGGCTACGCAGGGAGCCTCATGCCTGCCCTTTGCTTGCCTACTTGCTGCTGAAATTTCCAGCCCAGCACAGAGATGTTCCGGCCGGGCTGTGGCCGACATGTCATGGTGAGGAGCGGGGTTTGGTGTGCTGCTGGCCATCCCCCACCCCCCGCCACTGCCTCCCCAAGCAGGGTTAACACTGTGACATGCCTGGTGGTGGGAACAGGCTGAAGACTTGTGCTCCCATGTGCAGTCTGCCATCTTCAAGCAGTGAGGGAGCAGTCGTGGAAGGGGGTTGCTGCTCCCTGGGTATTTGGTTTATCAGAAAACTGACAACCAGACTGGATCACTCTGAAGTGCTGTCAGGCCCGCGGGGGGATGTGGAGGAAGGGGCAGCAAGAAACAGATGCTGAGGGAAAGTGATGTGCAGTCCCTGAGAGCCACCAACTCCTCCCAAAGAGATACGACAGCAGGTAGGGTGAGAGCTGCTGTCGAGGCCCCAGTTATGGGGGATGCTCCAGCAGCCTCATGGGAAGGGTGGAGGAAAAAGGGAGGCAAAAGGAGAAGGACACCAACCAGTGGTTCTGGTGTCCCAGCAAAACTGGGGCTGGGAGAGCTGGACCACAGGTGAGCATGACAGCACCCGTTGTCACCCAGAAGCCAGGATCTGGTGTCTTGGGGAGGATGGATGGACCCATGGTTCAGCTCCGAGTGAACTGAGCTCTGTCTGGTCCTTGCTCCTTGCGGACCACCCTTGCTTACATGCCTGTTGCCTTCAGCTAGGAAAGGAGACTGCAGGGAAATGGATGTTGAAGTTTGGTAAGAGCTCAGCAGCATCTCCATCGCTCTGCTCCATGCAACCTCCAAATGCCCCAGTCCCAGCAGGCGTCCCCTCATTCCCATGGGGGTCCCTGCAAGGGACAAGGATGCAGGTGCAGAGCGCCAGAGGCTCCCCAGGGACTGCCCTGCAGCAAAGCCCGGGCAGGGGTGAGGAATCAGACAGGGATGGGAGGCATCATGGCTGCATGCAGGGAACAGGCTCTGCCCCAAGGATGGGGGAGGTGGCCGTGCCACGGTGCAGAGAGCCCAGGGAGCGGCTGGGACTGTGCTGGGAGCTGGCTGCGCGTGTGCATGAGGCAGATGAGGGATGAAAGAAAGAAAGAAAGGATGAAGAATGAGAGAGATTTCCAGGAACACTTCATCCCTGATGCAGTCTCTCAAGTGGGCTTCTGCTCAGGCTCCTGGTGCCTCAGTGGTGCAGTAGGACCTGCTGCTGTACCAGCACGGACCCGTCCCCTGCCTTGGCATCCCCCAGGGAAAAAGCAGCCTGTGCACAGTCTGGAGGCAGGGACAGAAATCCCTGCCCAGCAGCTACCGTTTCTGGCTCTGCCACCCCGGGGGCTGCGGCCTGCAATGTGCCAGCTCCCCAGCACCATTGCCCACCCCAGCATCTGCCAGCATCGCTTGGCTGCTGTCGCTGTGTCCTGTCCCTGCTGTCACCAGCCCTGTGACATAAACCCCCGGGTTTTAGCATGCCTCCATCCCCAGAGGGGATGATGTTTGTTTGCCTTCGTCACTCCCACAGGAGTAGGCAGCATTTCTTTTTCCTCCCAATTTCAGATGCTATTTCCAGCTTGTTGGTTTTTCCCCTTGTGTAATGTCTCGTTCGCACCCATTTACCCTCCAGCCCTTTAGCTTCAGTAGCTCCTCTCTTCTGCTCTGCAGGAGATGATTTCCCAAGGAAAGTCACACCTTGGGGCATCCCTGGACCGTTCCTGTGCTCTGTGTGTTCACTTTGCCAGTTTGCAGCCTGTTTGCTACTGGGAGCAGAGGCAGGGCCAGCTCAGGGCTACCAAGCCAGCCCAGAGCTTTGCTGGGCTTTCCTATCGTCCCTTGCCTGCTCTTGAAATTTCTTAGAGCAAAAGCATTGAGCCCTGCTACGGACCTGGACACACAGCCCTTTGGGGCTCCTTTGGTGTCCCCGTGGCCTTCTTCCCCCATCATCCTCACCCAGCAGGGACAGAGCTGGGCACGGATCCGTCACTCCAATGCAGCGGGCAGTGAGGCCATGGGCTGGCTTTGCGTTTGCAGCCAGCCCATGTGGAGGGGCAGGGTGTGCAGAGGCCAGGCCAGGTGCTCTCAAGGCTTTTAGGTTCTTTGTGCCCTATTAAACAGGGGAGGAAAAATGTCCCCAGGGCTTTGGGGCATCCCTCGGGCTGGCCTGAGCACACTGTCCCCACCTGCCACCGTCTTCCCAGTGGGCACCATCCCCTGTTGCTCTCCTTTGGCTTAACTTCACCAGCCAGCAGGGAAATGGGGTGCCACGTCCCATGCAGCCAGCACCCCGCAGCCCAAGGGTGCTCTGGGGCAGCGTGCCAGGGTGCGCAGTCTGCACGGGTGGCTCCAGAGCAGGAGCTGTGCTGGGTGCTCTGTCCCAGGGCCAGGATGTGCCTGGTGGCCCTGGGGACATTTGTGCCCAGCCATGTTCTGACAAGCGTCCCTGGTTTCAGCCAGATTCTGTTTGCTTCCCTCTGCAACAGCGGCGAGGCAGAGCGGCCCTGCAGACACTGAGCCTCCCGGGAAGGAGGGCACTGTTGGTAACTGGGTGCCTCAGTTTCCCCATTCGGCCACAGGGCAGGAGGCAAGGGGGGAGCGGTGTTGCTCCCAACTGCTGTGTGCTCTGGCATCTTGGGGGGAGATTTGGGGGTGCAGGACCCGCCTGGCAGTGTCCTGGTGCTGGATGCCAACAGACCCAGGCAGCTCCTCATGGCCTGGCCGCAGGTACCAGGCTCAGCGGTGCAGCGAGCTGTGCTGGGGCTCAGCCCAGGTGGGAGCAGGGGGTGCAGGGCTGGAGGCAGGTCTCTCCCAGCAAGCTCCTCCAGGCTCCTTCTCCAAGATCCCTGTCCCACCTGCTAGAATCCAGCCACGCTGGAGGCTCTTCCAGCTCCATCCCACCCAGTCCAGCCAGATACCTCTGCGCAGGGTGAGGATGGTGCTGGGACAGGCTGAGCGTGGGGCTCAGCCCAGGTGGGAGCAGGGGGTGCAGGGCTGGAGGCAGGTCTCTCCCAGCAAGCTCCTCCAGGCTCCTTCTCCAAGATCCCTGTCCCACCTGCTAGAATCCAGCCACGCTGGAGGCTCTTCCAGCTCCATCCCACCCAGTCCAGCCAGATACCTCTGCGCAGGGTGAGGATGGTGCTGGGACAGGCTGAGCGGAGGAGGGTCCCCAGGGTGCCAGAGCCCCTCAAGGTCTCACCCCGGGGGGGTAGGGGGGGACCGGGTCCCTGTGGGCCCTGCCACCCTCGGAGGGAGTGAAGGGACCGATGTGTG